CTGCTGAGCAATTTCAATGAATAGATGCATTCTTCCATCAATTATATTCTGTCAAATTGGCTTTTATCATTTGAAAACTGTTTTTCAAGAGATTTTCTAGCCAGCTCTTGTAAACAAGAACGAGTGGAGCTGAATATTAATATTCCTTAATTTGCTGATTTCTTGTGATGCCTTCTTTTAAGAAATGAATGTTTAATTTTCATCTTTACATACAGCCCAGAGCTTGGTTGAGTTAATTCCATTTATCAAGTATTCAAGTTATTTGATATAAGAAAAAGTATTCACAAACGCTTGAACAAAACAACCATCTATGAACTGAAGCAGTTTTCTGCGGTATACCGAAGCAGGACTCCTTATTGGTAGTGGGAAAATTATACTTTGTCTTACCTAAAAAAAGATTGATTTCATCAAAGCAATTTTGAATTTAAGGTACAATAACTGTTATGAAAGTTATTCAGAGACACATGCATAAACGATTGGAGCTGAAGTAACAGATGCTTGCTGATTTCTAGGATAAAAGAGGTCTAAATAATGTATTTCTGTACATTTCTGGGTTACTGTAGCTAAGGACCAAACTTCTACCCAGCTACTCACTTATTCCCCCCTCCTCAGCAGGACAGGGGGAGAAAATGGGAAGAGCAGGCACAAGAAAGCTGATGGGTCAAGATAATGGCAGGAGGATTGTTTGCTTTTTGTGGGCAAAACAGATTCAGCTTGGTGAAAATTAATTTATTGCCAATTAAAATAGATTTTGGTAGTGAAGAAACACAGATAGACAAATGTTACAACACCTTTCCTCTTCCTTTTGCCATGCTCAACTTTACTCCTTTACACTCGACTCCTCTGCCCTGTTCTGGAAGGGAACAGGGGAGGATGGAGTATGTGTTACAGTATACAGTGATCTTTCTCTTTGCCATTCTTTTGTTCTCCCCTTCTTCCTCTGATGAATTCTCCACCAGCTGCAGTTCCCGTCAGTAAAATCTTCTCTGATGCAGGTTTTTCCACAGACTGCTAGGAATATCTGCTCCAGCACCATGGAGCACTTCTTTCTCCTCCTTCTCTGACCTTGGTGTCTCACAGAATCACAGAATCACAGAACGTTAGGGATTGGAAGGGACCTCAAAAGATCATCTAGTCCAATCCCCCTGCCGAAGCAGGAACACCTAGATGAGGTTACACACGAAGGCGTCCAGGCGGGTTTTGAATGTCTCCAGAGAAGGAGACTCCACAACCTCTCTGGGCAGCTGAGTCTCCTCTGCTGTTTCTCACAGTTTTTGTTCCATCTTTTGGTGCCTTCAGCATTTTTTGTGCTTTTTAAAATATGTTTTCACTGAGGAACCACAAATAAGCTTGCTGATGGGTGCAGCTTTGACCATTGTGAATCTGTTGCTGAGCCAACTGGAAAAGGCTGCATTCAGCACAGGGCAGGCCCTCAGCTCTTCCCACAGAGACACCCCTGCAACTCCCCTTGCTACCAAAGCCTTGCATTTACACCAAATACAGTTTATTTTCCTTCCTTTAATACTAAAATACCATTAACCATAACTGTATGTAAGAATTATAATCTCAGTATTATACATGGCATGGCCATAACTCTTTGCAACAGTAAAGTTAGTCACTCAGAACTGGCATTAAGAGAATTCCCAGTTCCTGTTCTCCCTTTCTCTGTGGACGATGACTTTGTGGTCAGTTCCCAGCTCTACTAGCTCATTTCCTTAAGCAGGTTTTAAACCAACTGGTTTGTCATTATTTAAATAATCTCTTTCCATCCCACATACTCAAATGTGGAATTCAGGGAGATTATACTCTCACAGACACAGTCATAGCTCCCACTATCTTCAAGGAGAACTATGATAGAAAAAAATGGCAGAAGAAGGCCTGCTTCTCATAGTCCTGATTCTCATAGACCTGAACTGTTCTCTGTTCCCCCTGTCCCCCTTGCTATTGGACACTGATCACATCTTGGCTTTGTCCATGCACTGGGAGCTCATGTACTTCTAAAGTCCCCGGTTCACTACAGAGTGAAGGCAAATTCTGTGGCCTTTCTGGGCACAGATGGGCTGTTTGATGTGCCATTGCAGTGGTGGCACCTGTCAGGCCACCTCTAGCTCCTGCTCATAATTAACATCCTGCTTGTCCTGCCTGACACAAGGAGAACAGTTGAAAAGGAATTTGGGGCTAAGTAGGTGGCGATAAACTAAATCTAAACTTTCTAACTAAACTACAGTTCCAATAAAGAATTTGGAAATTGTGAATACTCTCTCTTAAGGCATTTTCAAAAAAAAAGCCAAAGTCATAACTGCCACTGATGTACAAAATACAAATGCTACAGGGAAATAGTTTTGAGAGATTATATGACACTATCATAGTTACACACTAGCTTTAGCTTTCAATATAAATGACAATTGTTTAAAGTAGGTGAAATACTGGATAATGAATACTGAAAGCTGCAGCCTGCTATTACTAGCTATTTTCAGAATGGAAAACATAATGGAAAAGGCTCCAATTTATCCAAAAGTTGTTGGTATTAGATTGTCCCTGACACTCAACCAGTATGAACTTTTACAGCTCTACTGAAGTCAGCATTGCCTAGAAAAGATTAAGGTCTGACTGATTGTTTCTAGCTAGCTGGAGTTTTTCTACGTTGGAAGTTCTCAAAAATGGTCTGCATTAATGACATTCTCATTAAACCATCTAATTTAATAATATTGACAATAATAGAGGTGTTGATGGTTGAGGTAAATGAGGAAACATTCTCACTAGCATCCAAAACTAAATTATTCCCTCTTCTTTTGAAAAATGCGCAAGTTGTAATGCCTATTTTTCAAATTCATCTCTGTTAGTAAGATCTATAATTATGAAGCAGGAAGGCATAACAAGGTTGGCTTATAATGCAGGGAGCATGGATGAGTATTTCTAATTACCCAGAGGATGAAGCTCTCTGGTGATGGTGCTAGCATGCTTAGGGCTGCTAGAATGTTATTTCTAATCATCTTTATTTTGAAGGAATTGGGTTTACAGGAGATTAAATTATTAGTTTGGAATGCTCAACAGTTTTTATTGTAGCTGCTGATTGCTTTCTTTTTGGTATTAATTTCTGCCTCTATCAGACATATCACAATCTAGTAACAGAGACTCTGGGTGGAGTATCTGTTGAACAACTTTGCTTCTATGGCTACAATCTGTGGATTAAATCCTGCAAGTATTTAATAATGCAACTATTTAGATTTGTTTTAACATGGTGGTTTATTTGGCTAAGAAAGGTCATTTGGTGAGTGACCTGAAGCAATTTTTTCAGTTCTATCTTAATTTCTCTATATGTAAATTTGAGATTATGTTAAAGATCTTCAGTCTCTCTTACTTAAGATTCCCAGAATGTATCCCAGATGCTTTGAGTTGAGGATTGGGATAAACAGCAACATCTTGTATTTTGGATGTTGTCCTCAGTTCTGAACTGAAGTCTAGCTGATGAGAAGCTGGCAACCTGCTTCTCTCACCCTGCTCCTTAAGGTAGGTACCCCTTCCAAATTCTCTTCCTGCCCATCTCCCTAGCAATGTGCTAACATTCAAATGAAAATGTAGTATCTATAGCTTATCTGAGGGTTGCTGTCTTTCCTATTCTAAGCATTGCCTAATTTATTCTCTTTTCCTCCTTATTGCTATGTGGCGGTCTTTGCATTTTAATGTTAAAGAAGTTGTCTATGATCTTTTGAAGGGCTGACTGGTCCAGATGGCTGTGCTTGCTTAGTGAAAGAAGCAAAGTACACAGCATGTGAAACTCCACAATCAGTGGGCTTCTAAATGAGCAGAATTTTGAAAGAATGTCAGCCCCAGGTCCAGGAGAGGTTAGTGATATCAAGCCCCATTAGATATGGTTGTGTCTCAGGGTAACAGATCAAAGAGAACTGCAATATAATGTACTTTCCATGTTTTATCTGTCACTGCCTGCCAAAGTTAAAGGCAACCGCTCAGGTAGCTTCAAGTAAGCAGCATCAAAGCAAGCGAACTCCTGAATTGGTGGTAAATAAAAGAGAATACCTGGGACGTTGTCACTTTCTGTTCTAAAGGCACAGGGTAAACTGCTTTTCTCTCCGAAGTGTGTTATCAATAGGGCTATTCATTCCCATGGGCTTAGCAGGCACATACCAAAGGCTCAAATACTGTGGGACTTGTGGGACAGTTCGGAGCAGGGCCACGCTGTGCCAGATGTTGTGCAAAGGTGGTATAGTAGACTTCTTAGCTGATGATCTCACGCACTAAACAGAAAACAAAAAAAAGAATGAGAAGGAAATAGTACAATTTATTTTAGGCCAAGATGTGGCTGCAGATGACATGACATTTTTACAGTACAGAGGGGATTTTTCAGTTAATCTTTCAGGTTGAACTATCCTAGGATGATTGTAAGGAAGATGATGAGAGCGAAGAGAGAGAGCAGGATTAGGAGTTGGAGTAAAAAAGATAAAAGTGTGTGAATTAAAGATATTACGGAGAAAAGATTTTGTTCAAACCACTCAGCAATATACAGGAAAAACAACATCCAGAGAAACTCTAGTGAAGAACATGACTTTTGGAATTCCCTATTGTAACATCTCCGGAGGGTGTTTCCTGTTTGCATCTGCCAATAGAACAGAGGCTTGTACAGCAAAGTTTGTGAGAGGATAGGATCAGAAAAGTGAACATGACCGTGATCCAGAAATATAAATACATTCATAAAACAAACCAATAGGAAAGGCTCATTCCCATAAACAATTAGAGGAACAAGAAGGAAAATAATTAAAAATGTACTTCCTGTTTTGAGTAAGATTAACAGAGGCATAAGGAGTTAACAAGGTTATTATAGCAGTTTTCTATTAGTCCCATGCAGAGGCAAAGACTGCAGTATGATTGCATCTCTGATAATGCACTTGAAAATCCACAAAGGTGGAGTGAAAACTGGGTGCAGAAAAAATAAAAACTGTTAAACTAGGAGGAGATCTGAAAAAGAACTTCATGTAGAGATTGGAAGAGCATCTAAAGAGATGCTTACTTTTTCTTTGTGTAAGGCATCCTTCCCAAAACCATGAATAAGCATGATTTAAAGGCAGGTATGGCAGTGTTTCAGAGTCTTGACCAATATATTTAAAAAGTAACCTTCGTAGGAAGTTTGCCAACTTGAAATTTAGGCATTGCAAGAACATGTGCAGGTTTGCCTAGTACACTTTTCTTCAAATTTCACTGTGAATAGTAACCTTTAGACTCATGTTCCTTACCATGTATTTTTCTTTTCCCTGCTTTGTTGGAGACTCATAAATAGAGCAAAGTGACTACCAAGGGAAAGTAGAAAACACAACTTTACCCTTAGCACTCCAGATTCCATACAAGAAAATGTCCTAGAAGCTCTGAACACTTTCAATATTCACCCATGTGAATATTCTCTTTTAAGAAAGTTCAGAGAGTCTCTTTTTGCAAGAATAGGCAAGGGAATTATGCTTTTTTAAAATGAGCCTTTTAATATAGATTTTATTCTAAATACTTTTAAAAGTAATTTTTCCCATTGATCTGAGGTACCTAAGTGTTTGTGGAGACATGGATACTATCCGTGTCTCTTAATCTAGGTTTCTAATGTTTCGCTTTACCCTAGAACAGTTGTAAAGCAAGAAAGTTTTTAAAGCCTATTGTAAACTGGACACTACTTTTAATATCAATAGAAAAAAAAAGAAAATAATAATAATTAAACTATATTAAACGTTCTAAAATTACAGCTGAATATATTTTAACCTGTCAGGCTGGGATTCAGGTCTCTTTCTCTTTCAAGATTTTATCATCTATTACAGATTTGTTTTGAAAAGGAAACCAGGGAGTCCAGTTCATGGAAATACTTCAGAGCTTGTGGTGCTTCACTGGATGTGTGAGCTGCAATGCAGAATTCCAAGCTGTGTAGGTTTACATGGCAATGAGAGAACTGAGCTGAGCTGAAAATAATTCCTTGGATCTTCTAGCCTTGCAAAGCAGAAGAACTAGAAATATGACATCCTGCTGA